GGAGCGAAATAACGGATATACTACTATGAAGATGGGTGGAAAACACTATTTTAAACATGTTGTCATTGCAACTCATTTTATACCGAATCCTAACAATTTACCTTTTGTAGACCATATAAACCGTATAAGAAACGACAATAGACTTGAGAACTTGCGTTGGGTCACTCGTTCTGAAAACAATAAGAACAAAAGCAAATTTCGAGATATTGTATTCGAATTTGTCGACGAACTAGAAGATGAAACAATTGAAATTACAGACTATGGCAAGCATACGCTTGAGTTTTACTACTATAGCGAAGAACAAGACTCTTTCTACTTTTATACCGGCGTAAACTATAGGAAATTACAAGTATGTTTTACTAAGGAAGGCTATGCTTATGTAAACGCTAGAGATACGGATGGAAAATACGTTAGACTATATCTTAACAAATTCAAGAAGCTATATGGCATACCATTTTAAAACGTTTTTAAAACAGTATATTTTTACATATATTAAATGCTTCAGGTTGAAAAACAAAGAACAAAAGTAGCAGATACAAAACCGTTAGACTATATCTTTACAAATACTGGTAGGACAATTTCAGATGAAGAAATTTCATCCGGTGCTTACAGATTTGACAGTTTATAGAAACGTGTTCGACCCTCAAAATGTTATGTGTCATGCAAGTTTCAGTTCAAGCAACAACAGTTTTCTTTGTATCGGTAAGGACTTTTATGACTTTGCTTCTAAATTCTACGAACCACCTAGTAACAGTTTCTCTGACTTTCAAGTTTGGTTCACAACAAATGGTGTGCAGCATATAATACCATTGTACTATGACTTTTATCTCGAATTGTCTTTCATATACAACTACGGAAAAGTGCTGAAAAAGTATTGAAAAATATATTTTAGGGTAGATGGTTAGATCTAACCTCATTTCTAACCTCTTTTCTACCCTCTTGAATTTTCATGAATTTCCTTAAGATAGAAAAAAATATATTTTAGTTTTATTTTTTTTAAGTTTGGTCATCCTTCACTGTATGACAAATATACTATATTTTACTTAAAAATATGCAAGCGGCTCATAGCTCAGTGGTATGGGCTACCTCGCTACAGACGTCGAAGACCTCGGTTCAAATCCCGATTCGCGCAGGTTTTTTCCTTTTATGCAGTGAAATTTCATGTACATAGGTTACTTTGGTGTTAGACCCTAGTGAAGAAAATAGAACGATATAAGTTTACATTTGTAAGGTTACTTTGGTGTTAGACCCTAGTGAAGAAAATAGAACGATAGGAGTTTACATTTGTAAAGTTGGACGATAAAAATCTCTGCTACTAGCAGTACTGCTACTGTCAGTAAAAGTACTGCTACTGTCAGTAAAAGTACTGCTACTGTCAGTAAAAGTACTGCTACTGTCAGAAAAAGTACTGCTACTGTCAGTAAAAGTACTGCTACTGTCAGTAAAAGTACTGCTAGTTGCAGTAAAAAGGAAAATTTGAGAGGGTTTTCGACGATAAAGTACTGCTACTGTCAGTAAAAGTACTGCTACTGTCAGTAAAAGTACTGCTACTGTCAGTAAAAGTACTGCTACTGTCAGTAAAAGTACTGCTACTGTCAGTAAAAGTACTGCTACTGTCAGTAAAAGTACTGCTACTGTCAGTAAAAGTACTGCTACTGTCAGTAAAAGTACTGCTACTGTCAGTAGCAGTACTGCTAGTTGCAGAGATTTTTATCGTTGTGGTCCGACGGTTAAGCCACAAACGAATGTCCGACGTCCCACCAAAAAATATTTTTTATTTTTATTGTAAGAACTGAAATGACAGTCGAAGCAAAAACGTTCACGAACAAATCTAATGGCGAAACATTCACAAAAGGCACTTACAACGGTATTGAAGTCTTACGTAGAGACATGGATGGTTATATAAATGCAACAAAGATATGTCAGCAGTTTGGGAAAGACTTTAGAAGGTTGTTGGAAAATAAGTCCTGGGAAGAGTATTATACGGCATTTTGTGAAGAATATACCAACCCGCGGAATTCCGCGGGTTGCTTTTTATATAAAATTCATGCAGGAATTCCGGATGAAATCAAACAGGTTAGAGGAACGTATGTAGACCCAAGACTTGTAAACTATATAGCAATGTGGGCTTCTCCAAAATATTGTATAGCAGTTGGAAAAATTCTGGACTCCATAGACAAGAAAGTTCATGAGAAATTAGATGAAGAAGAACTTGAAGATACAGTAGAGAATGCAAAACCTTTGTTCGAAGAAGAAGTTAGAAAAATGCATGAAAAACAAATAGAACATGAACGTGAGATATGTTCTGGTTATAGAGATTCTCCATACGAACTAGACCAATGGGAACAAGAAGATTTAAAGAGAGAATTTAGAGAATATGAACTCGCTAAGATAGCATTAGAAGCTGCAGAAAAGAAGTTAAAAGCTTGGGGTTGTTTTGTACAAAAATATTGTGAGTAAATGAACCATTTATTTTTATTGAATTCGGCAAAAATATATTTTAGGTGAAGAGGTGAGATTTCACCTCTTTTTTCACCTGTTTTTTCACCCGTTGAATTTTCATGATTTCATCGTAAATGTTTTGTCAAACATGAACGTAAATGTTTTGTCGAAACTTCATCGTAATGAGCGTAAATCAGACAAAAATAATGTTTAGGTGAAGAGGTGAGATTTCACCTCTTTTTTCACCTGTTTTTTCACCTCATGAATTTTCCCGAAATAAAAAATAAAGTTGGTTTTTTTAAAAAAATATTTTTTTATTTTTATTGTAAGAACATGTTAGCAACAACAGCACCAAACTCGTTAGTTATGAATCCAACATCTATGTTAGTAGAGATGAAAAGCTTCATTCCTTCTTCATATACTTTCGAAACAGAAATCCAGAAGATAAAGCAAGAACTTTTAACAAATAATTTAGACTGTAGTGCGAAAGATGAAACAAATGAACAGTATCTTTATGAAATGCAGGACATTATTGACCATTTACCTAAACTACCTGAAATCCAACAACAAAAGCTCACTATTCCTGAATTCGACGAAATTGAAGTCAAAGCAACTGACTCAGTAGAAATAAAGAAGTTCATACGAAAGGTAAACTATGAGTTTCTAGGATTTCATTGCAACCATAAAGTTATGGACAAAGACTGCGACATGGTATATAAGAACATCTCTGACATATATAAATCTGGGGAGTTTAAGACCTACGACAACTTTGTTTCGTTAGTTGCTGAATGTGTTTGGGAAATAAGAGATAAAGATAGTAGGGGTAAGGTATGGAACGAACAAATAAAACCCGCTATGTTCGAGATGAAGAGAGCAATTGACGCCTTAGTTGTTTTAGCAGGTAAGGTTTCAGAATATAACGCAAAAATGAACCCGCAATGTTCAAAATGTAAAGCAGCAATGAGGAAATATAACTACTCCGTCAAAGAGATAGAACGTATGCGAAACGACTATGCAGATTTAAAGAAAGAAGCAGAAAAACCAGCAGAAGATAAAATGAACATGTTAGAATTTCTGAACAAAAACTATCCAACAGCAGAAGATTTCCTTCTATCTGACGTCAAGAAGAAGTATAAAGAAACTTTCGGTATCGTTAAAACATTCGATGTACTAAAAGAAGAAATTGAAGCTACGAAACTGTTTAGGATTTCAAATATACATCATACAATTCATGTAAAACGCTTATAAAATAACAGGTGAAAAAAGAGGTGAAAAAAGAGGTGAAATCTCACCTCTTCACCTAAACATTATTTTTATTGAATTCAGCAACAAAATTCTGAGTAAAATAATTTTTAGGGCTTGTGTCAAACCGTTGAGTTTTCACAAAATTTAAAAAATAACGTTTACCATGTGAAACGCTTATAAAATAACTGAGGTGAAAAAAGAGGTGAAAAAAGAGGTGAAATCTCACCTCTTCACCTAAACATTATTTTTATTGAATTCAGCAACAAAACAGTGAAGAACAGCGAGTAGTGAAAAAACCCTGGTCGCCAAAACTCTTTATTTTTATTGACTTTTTACAATTTGAACTTTGTTCGCGTAGATATGAATTCTGAAAGAAGTATGAGGGTCTTGTATGACTTTGTACTTCTCCCATAGTTCATGTCTGTCAAACTTACCTGCCATGGACTCTTTCATAAGTTCCATGAAATCGTCTTCGGACAATCCAGGGAAAAGTATAATGTCAGTAAGTATTCTCTTTACATCCTTACTTAAACTCTTTGCTGTCTGTACACAAATGACAACTGAGATGTTAAAGTGTCTGAGCTTCTTAAGAATTCGACACATGTCTTGTTCTCTGTTCTTTAACAAAGGATGAGAAGCAAAGTCATCTAAGATAAGAAGACATCTATGAGGGTAAGTCTTCCAATCGTAAGATTGCAATTTCTTCGAAATGTATTCTATCTCTTTCTGTTTGTTTCGGAAGTGTTTCTTCTCTAATATTCTCTGCATTTCCTCATTTGGGTCTTTAAACTTAGAATTTATATACTCATTTATAGCATTGTACTTCAAAACTCTTCTTTGGTACTTCTTTATCCAATCTAACAACTCAGAGTCTTTATACATACTAACTTAGACTTCTTTATAATATCTTTTGAACGAATTGACGGTTTGGTCAAATTGACCAGAAGTACTACAAATGACAACTAACTCATAGAATGGGTTCTTCTCATCTAGTTCTTGTTGTTGTGCAGCCATTTTAAGATAAGTGAAAGTCTTACCAGACCCAGGTGGTTGCAATTAGACCTGTTATACCATTCTGAGCAAATAAGAACTTGTCATGTATAGGCTTTATCTGAGCATTTTCTAACTTCCTCTTGTTCTTCTTCAAAACATTCTCAAATTTCTTGTCAATGTCAGCAAACTTTTTTTCTAACATATTTTTAGAAAAATTAAAATTTTTATCTTTTAGAAAATGTCTAGCGATTTTCGCTATCTATATTCGAGACAAACTTTTTGACAGCAAAACATCTGTCGACCATAAAATCTTACATAGTGTAAACAAGAAAGGTGAATTTGTTCTAAAGTTCTGTTTCTGGGAATATGACAAGAACCATAAAACATTAAGCAGAGAAGTCTTTAAGTTTGTCAATGACAGACTTGTTGACAGAGATGACGCCGATTGGAAAGATGAAGTCCAACAAAAGTTCTTAGAATGCAAAGAAGACACATGCGCTGTTCTTGAAGATGAAATAGAAAACAGAATAGATGAGCTATTAAAGGACAAAGAACTTTTACATAAATATGGTTGCGCCAAATTTGACATAACTCCACCAGAGAAGAAGAAGAAGAGAGAAAAGAAAGAAAAGAAAGTAGAAGAAAAGAAAGTAGAAGAAGAGAAGAAAGAACCAGAGCCAGAGAAGAAGAAATTTGACATGTAAAAATAAAATTTTATTTTTAGAACATTTCTGGGTCAATGTCAATGTTCTCTTCCTCTTTAGGAGCAAACACTGGCTTAGACTCTAAAATCTTTTTACCCAATTTACCTTGAACTTCAACTATCTTAGACTCATAATATTCATAGTCGTCTGCTTTCTTTGGTTCATAAGGTATAACAAGTTTGTATGCTTTGCCTTCTTTAAGGTTTGAGAACCTTCTGTCAAAACTTTCTTTGACTGTTAACAAACCTTCTATGTCTAAGTCTTTCAAATTTCGCACCATTTTTAGTCACAATAGCAAACTTAACTGGTTCGATGTTCCAAACTTTGTCAAATGTAGACTTTTTCAAAATGGTAGAAGTAAACATTCAAATATGTGAATGGGTCTAGTTCTTCTTTAAGTCCTGACATGTACTTGTTGACTGAGATGAATTTCGTCATCTTTTCTATCGGATAAAAAATATTTTTTTAAAATTTACTCAGAAAAATTTTTTTTGTATATACGCCGTTCTGAACATCTAAAAGACTTTTGACATTTGCCAAGAATGTTCGTTTAGAAGCTGCCATATAACCATATTCTTGACAATATTGTTTAACGAATCGTACAATGACCTTTCATCTAATGACACAAAGTCAGTTTCATCTATGAACAGTTCATATACACTCTTGTTTGCTTCTAACAATGTTTGTCTTTCTCGGTATGTGGAATTTGTCTTGGATTTGAACTTAGAAAATATCTAATGTCATGAAATATGAGAACAAGTGGTTGTAAAAGTCAGATGTCAAAGTTTCTGCTAAGTCGTCAAAATATTCTGTATCTTGCATATGAGAATCTGACGTTCTGACAACTACATATCTTCTGTCAGAACTTTTCTAACTTCATCGGAACAGCATTGTTTGAAACCATAATGAAGTTTGCAACATTTTCACAAACTCTTTGGTCTTTATATTTTCTTTCAACAACTCCAACTTTGTCTGTTATAAGACTCTTCAAAGCATCTGAGTTCAAAACTTTTGTTGTATCTATACTTTGAAGTTCGTTACATACTATAAGTTTCATATTCTCTATTGAGGAGTTAAACTTGCCACAGATGTTTTCTAAGTTTGTCATATTCGGATTCGAATAGCCCTCTAACAGTTTGCACAAGATATCTGTAAAGAAAGTGTTCTTACCAGTTCCTTGTTTTCCAATTATAATGAGAGCAGTTTCATTTTTAGCACTTGGATGTTGTAAGATGTTTGCAAACCAACATAAGATATACTCATAGACTCTTTCGTTTCCATTGCAATATAATTTCTTTGACATGGTCTAACCAAGCTTCTATAACATTTTCTTTCCATTCTACTTGTTCGTATTTATATCCAGTGAAGATAGAATAGAAGTTTGGAGAAGGTGTATAGAACTTTATACCTCGAACTGAAAAATCTTCTAACTTTGACAATAAGATATCCCAAGCATCTAACATCTTCATGCCAACTTGTACGACTTTTATTTTCTTAAGTTTCTGTCTACATTCTTGTTCTGAAACTATTGTTGCTCTTGGTTTGTTAAAGACAACATCCCATTCTTTCATGACATAACATTCTGGGGCAGAGTCAACATAAATGACTAAACGTTTCAAATTCTCGACTGCTTTGTTATAGTCTCGAAATGGACACATATTTCTTGAATGCTTGGAAGTCATTAAAAATCTGAAACATCTATTCTGTACATTTTTATAAAAATAAAAAAAAATATTATTTTTTTATTCTTGACTTTGTTGTTCCATTTGTTGCATTTGTTGTTCTTGAGCTATTTGTTGTTGAAGTTGTTCTTGTAATACAATACTTTCACCGTTGCATCTTCCAATTCGAAACTTTCTGCCGTCATTGACAAATACATAGGACATAAAAGTTTTACAGGAACAAAGTTTGCGTCAACTAAGGTTAAGTTTATGTTTGCTAAAGTGTTTGAGTTTACTAAAGCTGAAACTCTGCATTCGAATGAACAATAGGCAAACCAGCAGAGAAGTGTTGTTTATTACGCATGAGTATCTTTTGGTCATAGTAGTTTCTGTCGACATTCGAATAACACTTTGAACCTAAGTTTGAAACAATATATAAAATAGGTGTACTTAAAGTCAATGGAACAGACATTCCTTGTATGACACCTTTTCCTGTTATAGGAAACTGTTGGTAGTAAAAACCAGATATAAGTTTTGTATTATAGCTCATATTGTTTATAGTAAACTCAGTCGGACATCCAAACATAATGAAACCTGCTCTAGTTGCAGCACATGTTACATCCGTCCTTAAAGTATTAAATAAGTCAACAAAACCTGTTGGTGGTATATCTGAGTAAGTATCTTCAAAGAAGTATTTTTTACCATTCACAACAACAAAGTCTTCTGGTGTCAAAAGAGCAAAACAGGCTTTAGTCGTCATTGTGTTTAAAGTTAGTTTACAATACCGTCCTTGAGGACTTTGTAAGTTTGTTGTTATAGAATTATATGACTCAGGGTTTTTAGTCGTAATAGTATAAACCACTATGTCTTCTGCCATTTACTTAGCAACTAAATTTTAATGAAATGTTGTGGTCGTCAAATATTTTTATGACGTCTGGGAAACTATATTTTAAGTTCAACGTCTCACCTCCTTTCATAACGTATATCTTGTCAATGACATTATATGAAACACCACAGCAAGCAATGTCGGGTTCTATTTCTTTGATGTTTATATCGTCTGCCTCTGTCAAAAGTTTCAATAGTTCTTTCAAAATTTCATGAGGTGCGATGACATATGAGTTCACTTTTACAGGGTTGTGCTCAACAAAGTTTAACATTATACCCAAAGCTTGACAAATCTTCTCCTGAGTTTTAAGTTTGTCTTTAAGTTGTTGGTAGTCATTTCGAATATCTGCAACAGAACTTAAGTCTCTGCTAACTTCAGGGTATGTTGGTTCTTTTACAGGAACTATTGTTATACCATCTTGGTCTTCGTATGGTTTCCCCACTTCAACATCTCTTTCTTTGACATTGACAACAACACTTTGACTGTTTGTTTGAGTTGGTGAATTTAACTTCACATCTGCCACCGCCATTAAACCTTTTGAAACACTCACGCTTCTATTTTTCGGAAATGACATTTTACTTAGAATAAAAAGATGGACGTATTCGAGTATCTCTTCGAATTGAAGCAGAACAAAGTTTACACACACAAACAATACAAATACATTGACAGAATAGTTCTTTATACAAACAATGGAAAATGTTATAGAATAGCAGTCTTTGCTGAACCAAAATATTTTCATAAAGCAAAGAAAGTTGGTATAACTGAAATGGTGAAAGTTCTTGAAGCAGACAAAAATATAACAACAAAAACTTACAGATATTTCTAAAGGTAAGTTTATAATACAATATTATGTCAAAACTGGCGTACTGTCAATATTTGACGGAGAGAAGTCAGTTCAAGAACAACTTACTGACCTGCTGCCAAAATCTGCTCGATGGAAGCTGTCGTTATGCCAATCTGAGGAGCCCCAGCAGGTTTCATCGAACGAATCTTCAAAAGAGCATCTTCCGTGAAAGTGCTATTGGTTTTGTAAACTTCTTTGCTTTCAATTCATCTGGACCGTCTCTGTCACCAGTATATTGTATTTGTACAGTACCAACAGTTGAAATACCACCCATAAAGTCTTCTGAGTCAGCAAATGGAATGCCAAGCCAAAAGTTTGAACGGTCTCCATTTGTATATTGAGTTTTTTGACCTCCTGTATGAGTCCATACTTTCACATATGGCATAATAGAACTTTGCATTTCAGGGTTAATGGTTGTTGTGAAGTTGTTGTTAAAGTTCATAGCATCTAATGTCAAGTTGTATGACCTCATATCTTCAACTGTAGAATATTCTTCTCTTGGATAATATTTGCCATCTATGTTTATATGATATTTAATACCAGGGTTGTAGAAACAAGAATAGTCATTTATAGTTCGTCTGAACAGTACAAACATAGTATCTGCATGTTTCATTGCAGTTGTTAAAGCAATATCCGTTCTTGCACCTGGGTCAGCACTTTGGTTTCCAACTTCACCTGCAAAGTCTTTGACAGATATTTGGTGTATAGGGAACATAAGTGGAACTGCAATATATTTGGCAGCTAAAGCATTTGAAATATCTGGGTCCAACATATAGACTGCAAGTCTGCTTTCTATTCTCTTGCATTCAAACTTTTCGCATGTAAACTTAACTGGGTCCCAAGCATCTCCAGCAGCATTGAAATAATAGTTTACTTCAGTGTTGAGGTTTGAGAAACCAAAGTCTAAGTCAACTTTGTCTTTGCAAAATTCGGCGAATGACGTTTTATTTGTTCCCTTTACGTCTGTAAGAGTGAATGGGTCTTGTGTTGGTGCAATGACTAAGTTATTTTTGCTTGGAGTAAGTTCGATAGAAATTTTTCCTGCCCAGTTTGGCAAGTATCTTAAAAACCTGAAGATGAGGAAAGATGACAAAGGAACTCTAAGTTTCAGTTTTACTTTAGTGGCAGCATTTCCATCTGAACCAGAAAGGTTAACATAAACTCCTGGAACGTTAGGGTCAAGTCTTCTTATTTTCTCAATAGTTGCATACTGGTCTGTTTGTTCTCTAGCTTGTGGTTGTACTGAGTTTCTCAAAGCGAACCATTCATAGTTTGCCCATGTTACTGTTTGAACTAAGTCAGAGTTAGAATATATCTTATATCCCATGAAAACTTCTGGAGCATATTGGTATCCGACATAGAAAATTCCATTGCAACCTTTCTTGTCAGACAACTTGGCAGAAGGTTTTATTTCAATGTCTTGTTCCACGTATAAGAATGAGTTGTCAATAGAAATAATATGAAACCTGTCGCAAGCAATATCTACTGTTGTTGAAGAACCTTCTCCAAACTCACCTACATTTCCATAAGAAACAGCAGTTGTATATTCGTAAGTTCCAGGAACTATTTCTGACCTTCTAATGGCATTGTCGCATTCGTTATACCATTCGGAAACATTTCCATTCATAGCATCCAAAACTGTTGGCGTTATATTCTGAGCGGCGTACATTTCATATGAGTAAAAATATAGAATAGTTGGATTTATATGTCATAATAGAACCCACTCCGACCAAGCTTTACTTTCTTCCTGACTGAGTTTTTAACTCTTCTTTTTCCTTCATTGCCCTCTGCTTGAAGTTGTTGCATCTTTGCATTATGTTCATCTAGTATGTTGCAAATTTCCCATGTCCTTTTTGCCTTTGGGCTCTGGTCGCCCATCTCAGGTAACCTATATCCTAGAAAGAGTTTGTCATAGTTTGTATTTGAGTCTTTGCGTATTGTTTGCATGACTCTTTCCTGAGTTTCTGGTTCAAGCTCTTCAAACAGTGCCTGTCCATATGGAATAAGCTCGTTTCCAAATATATGTTTTTGTAGCCATTCTGGTTTTCTTTCCATGTTACCAACAATATCTTTTGTGAATGGGAAAGCTTTTACCCAATGTTTCAGTCTTTCGTCATTTATTTCTGTAGTTGGTTTTATTTTGTCAAGGAACATGTTTTTCAATACTAACATTTCATTTGGTACTGTCCATTTGAGTTTTCTTAAATATTCATCCCTTCTCGGTTCATTGTCTGCAAAGTAAGTTTTTATGACATTTTGCAAACTTTCATTTGCAAGGTCATGTACAATAGGTTCTCTTCCTTCGCTCTCCCTAACTTTCTTTCTAAACTCTTCACCAAATATACCATCTCTATGGTTCTGTGTAGTTCTTTGAGATAAATGTTCTAGAACGTCAGGTGTTATATTTCCATCAGCCATGTTCATTTCATACTGGTCCAAAATATCTGCATGTTTCATATCTTTCAATGGCATTAAAGCCGCGCTGAAAATACCAGCTAAATCTGGTTCACCATTGACTTCCATTGCGTCTACAACTTCTTGGAATTGTGGTTGTAAGTTTATGAACCACCTATCTGGATTAGCTTTATGACCCCATCTCATTGTAGTTCCATCGTCTGCAGAAACAAAAGTAGGTTTGTTTCCATCTTGGTTAGGTTCTGAATGAACTTTAAACAATGTTTCATTTCTATATGTTTTCTTGAAATTTAACCTTTTATTTTCACCGAGTTCATCCGAAGATTGAACGTTAAATGCTCGTAAGTAAAAAGGGTTGTTGTATTTGTGTACATTTTCTTTCAGTGCTTCCATTCTATGCTGAATATTTTCATCTGGTGTTGGAGTCTTTTGTATGTCGGCAAACATTTTTCGATATTCTTCTACTATGTCAGCCGAATTTTTTTTAGACTCTTGGAAATATTCCATATTCTCCGCATACTCTTGTTGAGGGTCAAGATTTTTCGGCTGTTCCAAATCTTCATCTAGTTCTGTGAAGTTAGTTTCCAAAGGAAGGACTTGTTCGTTTCCTTCAGGCTCTTCTAGCTGTTGTTGCTGAACTATTTTCTTCCATGTCTGGTTGTATCTGAACTTCTTCCTGTGGAGTTTCTTGTACTCATCTGCTGGCATTTCATATATTCCGAGACCGTTTTCAACAATTTCCCTATCTACGTCATCCGCATTCATAAGCTTTTGTTCTTTCGTTCCGTCTCTATTTTTTACGCGTTTCATGACGAAAGTTGAATTGTCATTTAGCTCTGACATCAAATATCTCGGAGTAAATTCATCCATGTCATTTGGATGATATGCTATTAAATCATATCCTTAGCGAGCTTGTATTTTCCAGGTTTGAGATTATATCCGTTTTGGTGCTGAGCCATAAAGCTAAATAGGTTCGGGTCAGTATTTCCATCCTTGAACTTTCCAATAGCTTCTTTATATCTGTCACTAAAGTCAATACTATCTGGGAAACCACACTCTTCTTTAAGCATTTTTAAGAATTCTTGGTTTCCTTGTTTCTACTTCTTTTATTCCTTGCTCTGTTTGTGGTTGTTGTTGTGCAGGGTTTTGAACTGTTGGTTGTTGTGTTGGTTGTTGTGCTGGTTGTTGTTGTTGTTGTGTTGGTTTTGGTGCATGCCTGTGTCTGTGTCCATGTGACGATGTAAATGTTTTAGGTAGTCCTGGTGCAGGTGCTTCTCTTGGAGGGTTTGGTGGTATATAAGTTCCACCAGCTGGCACATATGTTCCATCTGCAGCATAATGTCCTACCTGACTTTTCGTTCTTAAGAAAGCATTTACTAGGTCTGTTTTGGTCTGTTGTAACTCTTTTTCTTGACTTTCCACAACAGTTGCTCTAACGGCGTCATAGGCACTTTGAACTGCCTGTCTCGTTGCTGCATCTGTTATTTTCGTCATATTTTGTGCTACTTCTTTTAACTCTTTGTCGAAACCTTCAGACTTCAGTTTCTTTCCAGATGAGAAGTCGTTCACTTGTTTCACCTTACTATGAAGAGCTTCGAAGGCGTTCTTAAAGTCAGCATTTGTTAAAGCTTCATTTGAACTGTCTTCATCCGCTTGTATTTTTGTCCTTATTGACCCTATAAGCTGGGCTGCTTTAGCGTTGGCTTGGGCATCTAACCAGTCATTGTTAGCTTTTATATATTCTGAGCTTTTCATTGCCTTTTGCATAGCCGCGTCGTTATTTTTACTTTCTTGTGCTAAGTTTTCATACTGTACGGTTTGGTTTTGCAACTGTAAAAGTTTTTCTGCCTTTACATTTGCTTCAACTTCTTTTTTATACTCATCGCTATCCATATATGTCTTCAGGGCTTTTTGTTTTATTTCTTCATCTTTCAGTACTTTATATTGAGTAGTATGGTTTTTCAAATTTATGACATCTTGTTCCATTTTTGCTACTTCTGCTGCTTTTTCTGACACTTTTTTCGCATATTCCTCTGTACTTAGTTCTTTCAGTTGTTCTTTCTTCTTTTTCTCTACGTTTAACTCATTGAGTTTCTTTGTGTGTCTGTCATATTCTAGTTTCTTTTCGTTTTCACTTATTTGCTTCTGTATGTCTATGTTTGACTTTTTGACATCTGTTATTTGATTTTTGAGTGAACTCAAATTCATTTGACTTTGAGGGTTATATGCTGTTCCGTCTGCAGCTCCACCATAGCCTGCCATTTTCGCTAAAAGTGCCGCTCTTAAACCTCCACTCTGTGCACCAATAACTCGGTTTAAAAGCATAGGGTTGCTTGACATTTGTTGCAACATAGTGGGGTCATTCATCATTTGTTGTTGCAACTGTTGTTGTGGTGTCAGTCTTACTATTGGATGTTTCAATGCTCTCTTCCTCTTACGTATATTCTTACGTAGCTTACGTGGCATTTTAAGTGAAGTTAAAAACATTTACGATGAAGAAGTTTCGACAAAACATTTACGAAGAAATTCATGAAAATTCATGAAAATTCATGAGGTGAGAAAACAGGTGAGAAAACGGGTGAGATGTCACCTCTTCACCTAAAATATATTTTTGTCTGATTTACGCTCATTACGATGAAATCATGACAAAACATTTACGAAGAAGTCTTGACAAAACATTTACGATGAAGAAGTCTTGACAAAACATTTACGAAGAAGTCTTGACAAAACATTTACGATGAAGTCTTGACAAAACATTTACGAAGAAGTCTTGACAAAAAAATCAACGGCTGGTCGGCTGGGGTTCGGTCCTCCTCTTGGGTCTTGGGAAAAATTCTTAGGGCTAGAAGGCACGAAGTGCCTGGAAGCCCCACTTCCTTTTTTTTTTTTTTTTTTTTTTTTTTTTTTTTTTTTTGTTTATAAAAATATAAACTCAGTTAAATTAATTTTCAAGCTTTAAAATAATATTTGTTGATCCAATCATGAAGATTTTTCAAATTTTTTCGTTAATAAAAAATGTCGATACCACCATCCAAGGGAATTCATGCACCAAGAGCTCGAAATTATCAACAAAAACATCAGGCTAACGATAAAATTGAAACGTATGCTGATATTTACTTCAAAGATCATCCAGATGCGATTATAGACACAGATCCTCCTGAAGTTAAGCTAAAAAAGCTTGAAGAGAAGCTTGGATCATTTGATTTAGAAATGAATGAAAGATTTCACGTTCTTATCCAACAAAAATCTATGATCTACATTTTATACGGTGAAAAATCCGTCGAATCTCTTAAAATACATGCAAAAATAGGACAATTATATAATGGAAGTCATAGACCACAAAGTGCACTTCGTCATCTCCAAATATCTCTTGATTTAGAAAAAGAATTTAATGTTGATGAAGAAACAGCATTATTTGTTGCCGTAGAAGTTGCCGAAGCTCATTTATCAATGAGAACAGACAATCCAAATGATACACAGACTCATATAAAGATTGCAATGGACGTATTAAATCCTCATCGAAATGCAGACGTAAAAGACAATGAACTTAAATACAGATGGTATCTTGTTAATGCTAGAACATACTCAGCATCAAAACAATACCAATTATCTATGCAACAATACGACAATGCCCAGAAAACTTTAGAAATAATAGAAAATCATACTAACGGAGCCAGAATGGCAAAATTGTATGTTGAAATGTCAGAAACAGCATCTAAAATAGACGATTTTACTCGAATGACAGAATGCACTGGAAATGCATACGAAATTTTCATGAAACTTGGAATGCAAGCTTCTGCTTCGCTTATCAGATCAAAAGTTTCATCAGATAAAGTGAAAGAAGTTGAAGATAAATACGGAACTTTAGAATCTGATGAAACTAATATGGATTACATGGCAGATATCCCTCCATTGTAATCTACCTGTTTATTTGTTTTGTTTTTCTGTTTGATTAAATAAAATTCATTAATATAAATTTAAATTGATAGTTTATATATAAATCAAATTACTTTCAAAATAATTTTGATTAATTTTTCTATTGTATATTAATAATTTCATTGAACATAGAAGAATAGTTTTTAGGTTGATATGATTCATAAACTAATCGAATCGTATTCAAACCCTTTGTCATTCTAAAGTCGACATCATCATCAATCTTAACAATGTCTCTCATTGTTTTCGTATCAAATACGATAGCCATTGAATTATCTTCTAATTTTGGCCATCTTTGGTGATCTACTGCATAAATAAGCTTATCAAGGTATTTCAGGTTATATTCAACACTAACGTTAAACGATAATTGTGTTTCTGATGGAAAATGAGGTATATGCGGGTTAACTGCGTACGCATACCAAATTTTCCATGCAACAGAGTTAGTCATTGGAAGCCAATCGTATATATCTGATCCAATAACTGCAATTCCCGTATAAGGCTGCATGTACATGATGTTATAACAAGCGGATCCAGAAACCGAGAAGAAGTACTTAGTTGCAGCGAGAATTTTTAGAGAATACGAGTAATTTGTAAGTTGTTTGTCGTTAATATCAATCCAGTTTATGTTTGGATAGCGTTTTGGAATTTCAATCCTAAATTCATTGAAATTTTCAATATGACGACCACGGGATGTAAGTTTTCTGTTGAACATTAGTCCATTTATTGGCTTAATTCCTGTTAAATTGAAATGCTTATAAACATAATCTCGTACATAAAGCGTTGAATATTGTTGTGAGCCACATTGATAATTAGGCGATACCATATGAAGTTCTCGACAGAAGTATGTTGTGTTTGGTTCCATAAATAGATAATTTCCGTATGGAATTTCTAAATGATCTATAGCTTTTTTAGCTATCTTAAGATTCCTGCGGATGACAAGTGTTGAATTCCTAATGACATCCCATGGTATGTTAAATAGCGCAGTAAGCATTCCATCATGAACAACGTGTCCATATTGCTCATAAGTGCATAATAAATATACAACCCTATCTAACACAGTATGTGAGAAGCGATATTCACCCATTTCTGGAATATGTCTGTATTTATGATTAATCATTTGATTTTTTTGAAAGATTTCGACATCATTGAAATAAACATTAGGAAATTTGTAGTATATACTCTTTTCTCTGACAATTCCGGGAACAGAGCTATCCATTGCAAATGGTGTATAACAATTTGATGTAAGAACATTTCCTGGAAAATCTGGAACTTCGTTACGAATCTTTTTGATTTGTACACCTTTAACGCTTGAAGGATCGATCTTTGGAAGTTTAGTAATATTTAAATTAATTGGAATCCCTTCTAAATAAAAAGAAACTAAGCTTGACAGCATTCCAATATAATATCCATATATGAATATCAAGACAATTAAAGTTATTAGGTTCAATTTCAAAAACGCCGAGGATGGCCCGGCATAATTCCATTTTATCAATTCGTATCGGCTTTTTATAATTACTGTTAATAACTGAATAAATCAATAATTACAGTATGAAATTTATTAAAAATTGTTTACAAATTTGCAAGATAAAGAATTTTTTTGACTTAGCGGAAACGTATTTAAATTCTAATAGAAAGATAGACAATAATAGTAAATTCGGACAAAAACAAGATAAATTTAAAATTCTATTACAATTTTGAGTATAACTTGAAAAATTAAATAGTTGTAAACTTTGTTTAAGATATAATTTTTCAAGAATCAACTCAAGCATTGAAGAAAAGAGTTTCATCATATGTCGGAAATTGAGACGAATGTTGGTTACAAATAATCGGTGTTTAACACATGTGAATGTGAATGTGCTTGATAAGGATTTTTTTTGATATTTGGCGAAATTTAAGCCTTTCATTGCCAAGTTTCAAGGATGTTATATAACGATTCTTTAAATTTGAATAAAATTGTCCAAGCCTGGATGCTTAGTTCCTGGTTTATGCAATGTATCTATATTACTGCTTGAATTCCAGAAAGTCTGATCAATAATCCGATTCGAATCATCAATTGCTTTTGAAGAACCTTAAATTTAATATTCCAAGTTATTTCAAATATACATGCTATTGCAACTATAGTTCATGCTAAACGTAAATCGTTATTCAAAAATTGAATAAAAATAACGTCAGTTCGCACAATTTTATATGAGTTTTAATTCCAGGTGTAATGCATGAAAATTCGGTTCAATTCATTTTTGACACTTTACATATCGGATGTATTATCTAAGAATTGTATTATAAAATAATAATTTTGTGTTTTATAAGTTTATTTGTATAAATTGATTCAAAAAAATGGAAAGACAAGAAGTGGATCTGCCAAATGAAAATCAGATTTATATTACGGCATATATATTCATAATGTATACCTCTTACCCTTTCATTCCCTCGAGAAAGTTCAAAAACTTGGGTGCAATCAGAACTGATTGCACCCAAGTTTTTGAACTTTGTATAAGGAATTGTTGGCTATGATGTACTGATCATGAATCAGTACATCATAGCCAACAATTCCTTCGCAAACAGCGGGAAACTTTGTCTGAATAGTTTAACATTCAGACAAAGTTTCCCGCTGTCAGAGAGGGAATGGAAGGGTAAGAGGTATATATTCATAATGTATACCTCTTACCCTTTCATTCCCTCGAGAAAGTTCAAAAACTTGGGTGCAATCAGTTCTGATTGCACCCAAGTTTTTGAACTTTGTATAAGGAATTGTTGGCTATGATGTACTGATCATGAATCAGTACATCATAGCCAACAATTCCTTCCCAAACAACCCGAAATTTGTCTGATTCCACACTAATTTTATTAATTTATCTAAACTTTTATCCTCGTCTACAATTTAATCATCAATAATTATTTCTTGTTCTATTTCACTATTATATATATATATATATTTATATGATTTGATTTAAAAAAAAATAAATAAATAAATTAATAAATCATTTACTCAAATATATCAAAAGTTTTATTTTTATATATAAAGATAACTACTTTTAAAAAATACCTTATATATTTTTGCCATGTAAACTATTTTTGCCATGTAAACTCTTCACTTTTGTCAAAAATGAAGTGAACCGAATTTTCATGCACAACACCAGGTATATTGATTATTATAATTACATTGATTCAGTTAATGATGAAGTATCTAAATGTACATACTCAAACATTCAATCATTAACGCAGAGAGATTTCAAAAATATACAGGAAGACGTAATCCAAATTTTATCGCGTTTTAATTTTGATGCAGTCGTTTACAATCCGACAGAAATAATAAAATCAGTATCTTCAACAACAAAACACTACTTTAGCAATGATGCGGCCTTATATTTAAGTAAAATATGGCCGCCAGTTGTTAAAAAGTCAAATGAATTTATTCCAGAGATATTTAATTTCTTTGTCGAAATAGCTCACCAGCTTGCAAATCAAGATGTTCTTTTCAAATGGATTTCATGCGGTATTTTTTCCAATAATTGGTCCAAATGCGATCCTCAGATCCACACAATTGTAGCAACAAAAGGACTATTAGAAGATGATCCGAATACATCTATATTTTTTCAATTAACAATAAGCGGAACAGCCAACGTTTATAATATTAGAACTAATGAACTGTCGAAGATTCCAAATATTACCAACATAGATATAGATGAAACTAAGGATACAGTGTCATTTTACAACAAAAATGATAAAAAAGTTTTTGGTTTTATTTTGGAAGACAATTCATCAATTAAATTCTGGCCAAGCTTACTCCGTCGCGCCGAATTTAGACAAAATCCATTTTTATCACCTCCACAAGGTCCATATCCTTCGGTTTTCTTAAATGATTTTGCAAAACTCGTCGTTAAACCAGATTCGACGATATCTCGTGCATTACTTACTATGATTAATGGTGACCAAACCAAAATGCGAGAGATACTTCCTCATCTTTATAATATTTATATGCGTTATCACTCCGTTCTTGGCCTATTCTGCCTTGTTGTTATCCTTGACTTAGAGTATAGCCTTAACAAGATTCAATATCTGTCCCATGAAGGTTCTTTGACTCATTTACTTTTTGAATTAATTGTAGGTAACTGTTCTGCAGAATTCGACGAGCAATTTCTCAACAAAATCATACAGTATCTTGATAAGAATAAGAATCTCGACTTAGAAAAGCAAGATCCTCAAACAACTGTTACATTCTTTTCAACATGCGAATATGTTCTGAACTGCATATCATTCATACCGAGCGAAATACGTCTTATACTTTCTGTTATTAAAAGCTACTGTTCTTTGGTTGAAAATAATCGATTCAAAATTTATAAAGTTATTACCTCATTGTTTTTGAATCATACAGTTAGAGAATACGTACGAAAGGTATATAAAGACGATGTCGGCGCTTTACCTTATCAAATTGTTTTCCATGTTTGCAATTTAATTTCCAAAAGGAAAATTACATTTAAAGTAACCCCTGAATGGGAAAAGAGAATTCATGAAAAGGTTTTTCCAAAAATTGATCGTTTTGCGGTTTTGATTTCAGAATTTAAATCAAAATCTCAACCACCGACCAAAAGAATCACAGAACTGGAGAAAGAAATATCAGTTAAAGCAGTTGTCAACTACATCAACTTAAACTTCACAGTTTTTACGAAGATTGTCGAAGATTTTTCAATTCCAACGAAATACTACTCAACATGTCTAGGCTGGAATCTGAGTGTTGCAGTTTCAAGGATGTTCGTGTGCTTTGGAGATGACTTGCAAATCGAAAACATCCAAAAAGAATTAACTCAAAATCCTAAGAAAGAAGAAAAAAAGTAGTTGAATCGGAATCAGACAGCGAGAAACCTGAAAGGAAGATGAGCTTAAACATGTGCGTGAACGTTTTTTCAGAATCAATTCAAAGTACTGCTCCAAGGAAACCCAAAAAGAAGAAGACAGTGAAAAAGAAGAAGATCACATACGTTTACGTTAACAAGAAGGTATACAGACACCGAACAGTACCTAATCTTAAGAAATAATTCAATTATATTTTAATTTTGTTTTGTTTTTATGTTAAATATTAATATTTTACTTATTGTCTTCGATTTTTCACTACATAAAAAACATTTTAATTTTTATAATTTTTATTGAACTATGAAATACAGAGTTTTTGAAAGAATATATGAAACTTTCTATAATATGCTTATTTGCCTATCAAATTTAACTTCCAATTAATATCTGATTCAAAAATTATTTCTTTAGTTAGAATAAATGAGTTTTTAAAATTTCACCAATAGAATTGAAGATATTTACATCAGAGGTATGCGTTTAAGGGTGCACTTACGCCTCTATGACATGACCTTCAATTCAGATGTTTAAGGTTAATTTTCAATGACGCTTCGCGCCAGTTGTCAAAAATTTGAATTAAAGTCAGATGGGCGCAAGTGCAGCTTTAATTTCTCTCGAAATTTGAGATTTTTTCCCTTAAAATTATTCTTCACATTATTATCATGTATTTCAGCAGTTGAAATAATTTAAATGAAAATAGTAGTTGTTTATTTAATATAAAATGTATTGAATGATAGAATAGATAAACGAAAATGGCTTGAATTTATGTTTGATCTTTGGATCATCTTCAAAATTGGATGGTTGATATCGAAATGTGATATTTGTTGTGAAGCTAACTTGTTCTGATGATTCCTGTTTATCATTCATTGAATTAATTAAAAATCGATGTTTACCATTGTTAACACGTGATATTGGGATCTTCAGACTGAATGGTTGATAGCATTGATTATCGAGATCAACGTGTGTATCCGTTTGATCATCCATATTTTCAATGTTACAGAAAATATGAATATTTTCATTACATCTTTCGTCACGAACTACACCCGAAATATGAACATATTTGTCTGTGTCTTTATAATAGACTTCTTTTCTTTCATTATTTAAAGTTATTATTGGTTTGTTGTATTTAAAAATAAAATAGTATTTCCTCACAACTGATGTTCTTTCTGGAGTTTCAACAGCTTTTAAATTAACTATATATCTATTTTCAGGTAAATCGCTTGGAATTCGAATATATAACATATCTGTTTTTTCGATCTCATTACCCATTTGAAATTCCACTGAACCAGTGAAATATGTTTGTTCAAATTCATAATCAACTTTCAAAGTATCTACAATGTTATAATCAATTAATTTGATTTGTATTTCCAAATCATTTTTAAGATTTTTTGTGTAAACAGGAGGATTATATTCATTATAATCAAGAATTAGAAGATCTGGATCATTAAACTTGAAATCAAATTTAATAGGATCTAGTGTTTGAAATTTATTAAAAGTATCTATTGCTTTGATTTTTATGGTATGAGTACCTTCTGAAAATGTTTGATCTAAAGGTATATTCATTGTGAATTGTTTTGATTCAGTTATTGACTCTATTTTTATTGTTTCATATAATTTGAAATTAGTTGATGAATCATATGCATATTGTAATGAAACATCACCAAGATTTGTATCTGTTAATGTACCTGATATTGAAATTAACTGATCTTTGTTCTTATAGTATTTTTCATTTGGATTTTTGGTAATTGATAAAACTGGAGTTGACAATTGAATAGTGAATTGCATGACTATTGGTAGACATCCAAAAAAGCTATTATAATCTTGACAATCATAATAATTACCATTGTAATAACCATTATAAGAATTACAATCATAAATATCAAGTTGAGGATTAAATCGATTGATCATAAGTTCATATGATTTTTCGTATGCAAGTTGTTCAATTTTAATGTTCACTGTATATGATTGGTAATTATTGTTTATTTCTGGAGGCAATTCGAATGTTTGATAATCTTGAAAACCATAACCGTCACTGGATATGGCATATTTTATCCAACAGGGACCGCCTCTTGGGTCCTGATAATTTAAATTAATGGTAAGGAAGTTATCAACATTATATATCAATATATGCTTAAATTCATTTATTTGAAGTTGAAGATAAGGTTCATATCGGAGATATAACTTTTGATGTTCGGATTCTTTGTTTAAGTCATCAAATACATAATAAGAAATTAAAAATCGTTCTTGACACAAAAACCATGGTGGAATAAATATTGTGGTTAACATACATTTCCAATTTGTATCTGTAATCTCATGAATGTTTTCTATTGTTTGCGAATATCCATCATATCCATTATAATCTGGGGAAACAGTATATTTAAATGAAATTTTTCCAGTTCCATCTAAATCTCTAATTTCATATTCAAGATTTAATTGATACTTATAATTTATATAATCAGCCGGATTACTTTCTGTTGATTCTTTTCCAAAACGAATTTCTGGCTTTGAACTTCTACATTAATTGTAGAAATTTTAAAGTAATATTCTCCAACTTCAAGTTTTGAAATATCAAAAGTAAACTCTCTAAATTCTGTTTCTAATGCTAATGAAATATTTTCTTTTATATTAATTAATGAATTAATATTTTCTGTTCTATTAATTCGATACGATATTTCGAATATTTTGTCGACATAATAATTAAATGAAACATTAACTTTAAATTGCATATCAATTCTTTGTTTAAATTGATGCTTTTGCAATGGATCTATTTCTATTCTAACCACTCTTTCAATTGTGAAATTGAAATATTCAAAATGAGAATAAACTTCTTCATTATCTTGATATTTTATGCATCTGAAATAAATTGAGTAATTTCCTATTGTATAGTTTTGAATAGAAATATTTACACTAAAATGTCTTCGATATTCATGATCTGATAAAGTAGTTTCGTTTAAGAAATATTCTGCGCCTTCTGGATTCTTTGATTCATTATATTCCTTAATGTAGAATAATTTAGAATTACCATATGTAATAAATTCTCCAGAGACATTAATAAATTGTGTGCCTTCGTAATATGTTTTATTGTTATAATCAAATATAATAAAATCTTTGTCTTCGAGTATTTTTCTCTTCATTTTTTCTTTGTTAATAGGAATTCGAGATATTGAACTTGTAGTGTTTCTTTCAGTGTCGAAGAATCGAATAAACAGATTTTTGGTGTTCAAATCTTTTGGAATTTCTAAAACAAGAGAGTTATTTTTTTCTAAATTTATCATTTTCGTTTGGAGAGAATTAAAAACAAAATTTTCATTTGTAAACAAATATTCAGCTAGAAATTGATGACTCAAAATGTCCATTGTTCGATTTTAACTTCAATATGATTAGATGTAATGGAATTCCTAATGTTTATATCTTCATCAAATTTATAATTTTCCAATGATTTAAAAATTCGTACAGAATCGATTGCATTTGGCTCAATAAATCTTGTATACCGTGTTATGATGATTTCATTGCCTGAAACAGTGAGATGCACGTTGGTTTCATCAACATTATAAATGGTCGTCTCTTTTTCATTGTAAATAGTAAAGTAATGCTGGCTATATGTAATATTATAGAGATTAATGTCGACAATGATTCTGAATTCAATTGAAAATTCGTGTTTGGCTTCATCTTTGTTTTGAAATAACAATGAGAACTCATTATCCTTATAAACACCATTGATATCAATTTCATTAGTGTAGTAATGATCAAAGGCATCTGAAGTAATATCATATATGAATGAATCAACTTCAAATTTCCCTGTTACTTCGACGTTGAGGTGGTTTCCCAAGGTGGCTTCTTTAAAGTAGGATAAAAACATCTAGCGTTAATGAAAAATTCTAAATTGAGGCACTCCAATAACTAGAGGAGGCTATTCATTGAATAAAAATAATTTATTTTTATCGAATAGTCAAAATTTAGGACTTGCCATAAACTATTCAATTTTCATAAAATTTGACGTTGTTAAAATGGTAGATGGAACAAAGCAAAATAGTCATCATGACCTTTATACTTTATGATTATTGCCTAATTCATCCTTGAGTCCTTATTTCAGACAATTCAAAATCGAGAGAAAGTCGGATGTTATTTATATCCACATTTATTGAAGAGTAGAAGTGTATTTTTTAGAGACCAGATCAAAATTGTTCGTTCATTACACTTTTTATATATCTGAATTTAAAAGTTTTAATTTCATACAGATTATTGCTTCATTCTTGTGTTGACACGCCATATTATGGTTACACACGGAATATACAAGGTGACTTGGAATGAATTATATTTTAATTCTTCTTCAGATTCAAAACATGAGTTGATAGGAATTTTATTCCAGCTTCACAAAAATTTATCAATGAATGTCTGCATGAATTTATAAAATTCCCCAGCTTAAATATTACTACTAATGATAAATTCATAGTAGTGAAGTCTGATAACTAAACTTTTAAACCGACCACTGCTCCCCCAAAAGGAAATCTAAGGATGAGCACGAGAGTTCATAAAATACATGAACTCATGAACAAGCCTATCTGGAAATCATAAGTAATCCTAACCATGAAAAGTCAGAAAATATTGAACATGTCAACAAACAAAGGGGATTTTCAATAACAGAAACAACGAAGTTTATTCCAAAGATGGGAACACAGAAAACGGTAACTATAATTGGCCTATAGCAGATATAGTTATAGAGATTCTTGTTGAAATTGAGTTTGTTATTGGTGCCACATTTTTTACAAATGCAAGAAAATATCGCAGCAAGAAAAATTAGCAGAATCAGCCTTAGAATAAGAAGTCCAACCAGATTGAGCCCAGGATTATGATCAAAATAAAGATTACACTGATGCCTAATCCAAAATTAATCTTAAATTCACTTCATTCTTGCATAGATGCAAAACAAATTGCATTTTTTTTCCCTAACAAAATCAGATATTAAATGATTATAAAGTGAGAAAAAAAGAGTAAAAAGAAGACTATTCAATTTCATACATAACTAATTGAAATTAAACAGAAAGCTTTTACTAACAACAACAAATATTTAAATAATTATCCAAAATCATTTACAAGATTTGCTCTAAGAGAAATAGACATCTCCATTTGTGCTATTCTCTGTTTCTTTCTCCATGCTATCAAAACAAATATCAATGTTGATACAACAATGACAAAAATAATTGGAATTAACAAGTACAAATTATTTTTTTTTTCAGCGAACCATTTCTCAACAGAAGGGAAATAATCATAGTAAGGCATGACAACATGATCAACAAGTTGATTATCTGATTGGTTATATGTTATATTATAAAATACATTCGGTTTTTTCGTATAAAAACAATTTCTCATATAAATATTGATTCCAGAAACAAAAATAATATCATCCGAAACATCAATTGAACAATTAAATAAATCAGTAGTTTCGCTATTAATACCAGCTATTACAGACAAATTATTATTATTAATGATGCTGAAATTGGAAAATCCACTGTTTGAAATTGACAAAAATTTGTCACAATGAATAAAAGTATTTAATAAGTGTACATCTAAAACTGCATTGCAAAATAGTGATTCACCAATATCTGTGTCTTGTTCACTTAAAATATAAACATTATCTTTGCCTATTGAATTTGAATAGTTTACATTAACCGTTAATTGACATTGAGCGTAAATTGAAACCAATTTTGTATTTTCGCTACAAATAGTTGTTTGTTTGACCTCTGCCTTTGAGTTTTCGTCAGAAAATATACAAAGAAAAGCTCCAAAATATCCTGAATTTTCAAGACAACAAATCTTTGAGTTTTTATAGTTAATATCATATCCAGAAACATATATAGCTCCAGAACTTGTAAGTGAATACTGATCTCCTTTGATTTTCCGAAATGTTGATTCATTTATCGAAATTATTTTGGAAATGTCATTAATTGATATGACAACACCACTATATTGATTGGAAATATCATCAAATCGACAGTTTTCAATAGAAATCTGTGAATAATTTATTGATGAAATAATTCTTGTGTTTTTAATGTCTTTGAATGCTTGTACTTTATTAATTCTGACAAAATTGCAATATGTATGAATGAATTCATCATGAAATGCTGATTCTGTTACGTTTTCTTGAAGAATATTGGAATAATTTGTTTCATCAAGGATACAGTTTCCAAGTTTGATACTATTCTTAACACAAACTAAGAAACAATCTTTAAACTGAGAATCTAAGATTATGACTCTTTTTAATGTATAAATAAAAATTGATTTGGGGTAAATATGTAAAAATTGGCACTTGGTATAATAAAAATTGGGATACGTATAATGCTCTATTACGTTTCGGCCTGAAAAATTCGAAAATGAAGAAAAATTTACCGAAAATGTTCTCTGTGTAGCAATGAGTGCAGATGCATCGTATTTTTTATCTGTCATATTCAAGTGGATAATCGACAATGTGTCACTGGAGATTTGTACTTTGTTATTAATCCCGTATTCAACGTTTGCATTGGAATCTGAGTAGTAGTTTTCAATATTTACGTCTGATGAATTGGTAATATATAAATCAGCTCCGGCGATTGATTCGCATGACATTAAGTTACAATTTGAAATTTTGGTGTTATCTGAAGAAGATATGTAGATGGCTCCACCATAGAGCAGTGATTGGCATTTGAAAAAGCTGCATTCCTTAAAACCTAATGAATTTAAATGGTTATCTAAAAAAATTGCGCCTCCTTGCATCACATCAGTGAAATGAGAGATGATCGAGCGAGTTATCAGTACAGATGTATATTGCAAGTATATTGAACTTATACGAACTGACTTAAAATCTAATTGGAGGCTTGAAATTGCTTTTATTTTTAATTCTGAAATTTTTGGAGAAATAATTTTTTAAAAATTTCTAAAAAAGCATTATTATCTGAAACTCTAGCAAAAAACTTGATTTCAATACTAATTTTTTTGTGATGGAATTTCGGTTTTTGAATACAATTTATCATGATAGCATATTTATATTAACGAAACAAATTGATATGCGAAAAGGTTTTTTTTATTCGATAACTTTCAACCGTTTTTTATATCTTATTTTTCTGATGAATGTTTTTACAACCTTTTATGGCTTAGCACGCCTTCAATATTCAAATTATTTGAACGATATCAATATATCTTCATGTAATTTCATCTCTATTAACGTCGGTTTACAAGGAAGTGCAATCATTGGTGCAAAAAAAATTTTACGTAATGATATATATATTACAAATTGCTTCTTTTCAGATAATATAATTGAGCACAATTCAGCGATTTTCACATGGCAAGTGAATCATACATATCTCTCTAAATTATCTTTCATTAACAATAAAATTGCCAAACTTGATGGCGAAATTTTAGAATTCCACGAAGCAAATACAGATGTTACAGAATTTTCTCACTATTTAGCTTCAGTTGACGATTATTCTGACAGAATTATTTATTCTTACAATTCTTCAGTTAACTTTCAAGGATTAAATCTGACAACATGCCATATCGAAAATTCTATTATAGAAATAAGCGGAAATTCTGTATTTTTATCATTTTCTAACTTTCAAAACTGTAATTCCAAAACAAACTTACTTCTAGCGAATACAATTAACAATAATATAGAAAATATCGTAATAATCAACTCATTGATTCAAAATGTATTCGTATTTCCTTTTCCCGCAATTGTTAAAAATATTTTTATGAAAAAATCCTTAATGGCAGAATTATTCAAATCAACTCAAAAAATCACTTGCATTAACGGTTATTTTGATGTCCCTTATCAAATATATGGCTTCGAAAACGTTAATTTTATTAATTGTACATATGACAAGAATATATCTATTGTTCCTTTCGAAACAAAAGTTGTTTATAATTTACCATGTTTATCTTACATGAAAAAACATAATTATTCGATGAATAACACGATAATAAATGAGAGAAGTAATAATTTCGATATTACAGACATTTTCAAAGTCGAGAAATGCATCTTTTCTGAAATTTCTTCCCAAACAAATGGCGGAAGTTTTTATTTTCTCGGTTTCAATTCAAAATTATCAATTTCTGATGTAATTTTCAACAGAACACAAACATATTCCATATCAGAGAAATGCTATGGTGGTGCTATCTATGCTTTTGGATATAATTCGGAATTTGTTTTCACAAATATTATGGCAATAAATTGTCATGCTTTTGAAGATAATTTTGCACTTTTGCATACAATTGAATAGGGTTGTTAGATTCCCGACGATAGGTGTCTTGGAAGATTTGCCTGGTGTCATCATAGTGTCTTTAAATCAAAAATTTTATTTTAGAGTTAGTTTTATTGATTTTTCAATAAAAAACATTTCTAAAACAAGAAAATAAAACGATAAAATATTTATATTTTATATAAGGATCTTATATATTTAAAATAAATATCATTTTATTTTTTTCATTGGTGTCTGTCAAACCATAATACACTATTCAAAAATTCAATGTGTCTTGCGGTTTCAAAAGACACCTTCAAATTGAACGATAGCACAGACACTATTGAATTTTACCCATTTTATTTAGTTTTTACCCTTTTTATTTTTAAGAATTAATGACTGAAACAGCCGTTTTGCTATGACCTCAATCACTTTTATTTATTATTTTAAATATTATTTAATTTTATTATTTGAATATGCCAACTTATATTTGAGAAGCTCAATTTGAGACCACTTAATACATTGAAATATCATAAATATTGAAATATTAAAAAGTGTATTTCAAAATATTGAAATTATAAAAATTTATAATACTGAAATTGAGACAAATTAATAAATTCAATGTGTTTTTTTTTTGAAATAACTCTCAAATATTATTTTTTTGTTTATTTAATGATGAATAAATATGATTGCTTTAGTCAATCATAAAAACTAATTTAAGTTTAAAATAATGAAAGGATAATTTGATCGTTTTTTAAAATACAATTATTTTTGATGATTTGCAAGAATCTTTGAAAACAATATAATATAGGTTCTATTTTTGTAAAATTTATCCAAATCATGTATTACATAAACTACGATTAAAACGATGAAAGAACCAAAAAGTGTGTTTTGTGTTTTGTTGTTGCGTGTTGGATGCGGGATCCTGTTATTTCCGAAATCGACAAAAAATTTGGAAATTTAATTTCCGAAATCGAAATTATATTAATGTTTTTAATATTCTTATATCAAAAGGATTAAAGTTCATTAAGAGAAAAACAATTCTTCTTCTTCAATCTATTGGCGCATTTATTTCTACACGCCAATAAGGAAGGGAAAATTATAAGACACCATGGTGTCTTCAAAACGCTAATTTTTGATATTTTTAACAACCCTACAATTGAATCTCATTCTATTAACATGAATGATTCAATTATTACAAAATGCTCTGATATAAATGAACCAGCTGTTTATTATACTTTGTTTGTTGATAGCAAAGATGAATCTTTATTAATGAATCATTGCAATGTTTCTAATAATTTTGCCGCTGTCAAAATGATTTATTCAATGTTTGTTTCTCGTTTTAGTTTTGATTATTTCGCATATAATTCTTTATATTTTGTACAAAATCAGAAATCTTATTTCTTCCTTTCACAAGATGCCGTGTTTAAGTCTTGTGCTTTTATAGGAAATGATGAAAATGATGCAAATTATTCAATTGTTTCTTTGAATTTGTAATAAACAGAAATTCATCAAAAGTGACAGCTCTCAATTTTTTGACATTTGTAAATTCTAAATTGAATGAGAAAAATGAAATAATACTAATCATAATACAATATTCTAGATTTAATTATAATTAGGAAAAAGTTAGTTTTGAGAGTACTTTTCATAGGCATATAGAATGAAATCTTCTGAAAAATAATATCACATAAACTCATATATTTTCTAATATATAACTATTTATATAAAAATCAAATTCAATGATCTTAAAAGCGAAGGATAAACCTCAAAAATTTACGAATATAATGAGTGGGAATAGGCGTAAAGCAAAAATTGATATTTCATATGGTTTTATGATAGATAAGCATTATATTCCCACTCATTATATTCGTAAATTTTGAGGTTTATCCTTCGCTTTAAGATCATTGAATTTGATTTTTATATAAAATAGTTATATATTAGAAAATAATATGAGTTTATTTGATATTATTTTTCAGAAGATTTTGTGTTCTTCTTCAAAATTTTATTTTTTATTAAAAAGAATCTTTACAAAATATACATTTACTTTAATTAGTATTTAAAAACGTGCTCTATCAAAAGTTCCAAAAATTCAATATTTTAGCTTTTCTGAGGTGTCACTTTTGGTGAATTTCTGTTTACAACAAATTTAACAATTGATAATTGTTATTTCTACAAATATCCACCACTTAATGTTGAAAAATCAAAACCTGTTGTAATTAATTCAAAATTGAATGCAACTTATGATGAAATAATTGAATTTGTGAAGTCAATTGATCCCCCTTCAAATATCGCTATTAAATTTGATAAAAGAAAATCAAATCTTACGAAAGTTAAAAAAAAAAAAAAAAAAAAAAAAAAGGTAGTGGGGCTTCCAGGCACTTCGTGCCTTCTAGCCCTGAAGATGTTTAGTATAAATGAAGTTTTTATTCGGAGGGCTTCCAGGCGCGTTGCGCCCTCTAGCCCATAAGAAATTTTTCCCAAGACCCAAGAGGAGGACCGAACCCCAGCCGACCAGCCGTTGACTTTTTTGTCAAGACTTCTTCGTAATGAGCGTAAATGACCCAAAAATAATGTTTATGTTAGAATGTTAGATCTAACACCTTTTCTAACATGTTTTCTAACATCGTAGAAAACTCATGAATTTCATCGTATATGTTTTGTCAAACATGAACGTAAATGTTTTGTCAAGACTTCTTCGTAAATGTTTTGTCACTTTTCTGTCACTTTTCAGGAAAAAACATTTTTATTATTATATATAAATGAATTTTACAAAACCACCGTTACCGTTCTTTGGAAATAAGAGTAAATGTAAAGATATTATATTGAGAGAACTTAAGAAACTACCGAATGGTCTAACATTTGTAGATTTGTTCGGTGGAAGTTTCTATATATCCCATTTATGTCATACAATATTCCCAGACTCAAAGATTATATGCAATGACTTCGACAACTATATGGACCGTCTCAAACATATTCCAGACACTAACAAAATATTGAAAGAGTTAAAAGAAAAGATACCTATAGGTAAGATGGAACGTATACCATTAGATAAGAAAAATATTGTGAGAGAGGTTTTGAAAAAAGCAGAATATATAGACTGGAATAGTATATCTGCTAGACTATTATATAGTGGTGCTATAAGAGTTCATGACATTGAAACACTTATGTCAAAAGTTTTATATCTTAACTATACAAATGTTTTCAAAGAGGACATAGAAAAATATATTGAGGGTATAGAGTTTGTGAGATGTCATTGGACAGAGTTGTATGAAAAATATAAAGACAAGGAAAATGTTTTCTTTATAGTGGACCCGCCGTTCTATAACACATGGGATTTTCAATACCAAGTAGACTGGACTTTGAGAGACTCTTTAGAAACTTTAGACGTTATACATAACCATCCATGCTTTTACTTTACATCCGATAAAAGTGGTTTGGAAAGTGTCATGAGATGGTTAGAGGACATACATGACTATGAGTTTAGATACGATAAGATAGAATATGAGAGAGGTCCTATAAACTGGAGAAAGTGTCATAACAAAGAAATTTTATTAGTAAGTAAATGTGGTTTGAAATAGGACTACTTGTTTTAGGTTTTTTCCATTGTGTCATTTATTTCTTTGACGTGGCAGAAAAGTACAGAGAATATGAAGATGAACCAATGCCTGCAAATGTTCAGTATATGTACTCGTAAGAGATATTTTTATCTAATATTAAATGGACGCACAGAACTTAGCGAATGCACAGCAACCTGGACAACCAAACCAGAGAATATTCCAAATGAAGTTAGAATACAAACTGCAATGGCAAACTATGGTCAAGTGCCAACAGATGTACAAATGCAAACTGCCATGTCAAATGACGCTGCGTTAGGTTTGCCACCATGGTATGCAAATATGAGATGGAAAGAGTTTTATACAAACCCTGAAGTGGGATATAAACAACTTTATGCAGATGACGCGAACACAGGAGTTGACCCAGAATATGTTTTCTACCAGAGGAGAAACAGAATGTATGAGCTCCAGTTAAAGAATGCTATGGAACTCAACAGGAAACGTAAGAGACTAGGCGACATTAGATTTTTACATATAGTAAAATGGGTTTCTTCAGTAAGATAGGAAACTTCTTTCGAAATGTTGGAAGAGGTATATGGAATGGAATAAAAACCGTAGGAAGAGGAATTTGGAACGGTGTCAAAAATATTGGTAAAAGGGTAGGTCAGTTTGTTGGTATTATACCTAAAGACCCTGAACCAGAAGAGCAAGCTCCTGTTATACAACAGCCTGAACCTGCACCACAGTCTAGTTGGCAACCAAATCCAACACCTCAACCGTATTAAAAAATTATATTTTTACCGTTCGATAGTAGTTGTATATGAAACTAAGTTCTAAGTAAAACGCATGGTATAATGGAATTATTCTTTTTCTTCCATCTGTAGTAAACCATACTTGAAAGTCTGAAATACTTCCACTTGGTGGTTCGTATAACTTTGTAGGTTTTTCGTAAAAGTCATTTGCCAAGCATAAGAAAGAGTTTTGGGCGCCAGAAAATGAAGCATGAACAATAATAGCAGCTGGGTCGAAAACATCTTTAAATAAATATGGTTCATCTCTTGCATATCGACTGTAAATATTTGCTAAAGGAAGTTCGACTTTCTGATTTAACATTCTTTGCAAATAATACCATGACATTGCAGTGAATTCTGTATATATTTGTTCGTCTTTCTTTGGATTGTCTTCGTAGATTTGAAATGACACTTGTGAATTTTGTTTGTCATATACAATTCTCACATAAAGTGTGCTCTCGGTATTTGCATATTCATCAGCATATTTTGCATAACATGAATTTATTTTATCTTCTATATTTTTTAACGCAGTCTGTAGAGAAGATGAAAGGTCAACTTGTATTAGCTCAATTTCTTCCCACATTTTTCGTTTCCCTTCAGATATATAATCTATATGAAACCTTACAATAAATGGAAAACTTTTATCTTCTACAGACACAAACTTCATTCTACGAAAGCCAATAGCTTTTGTGACAGATGGGTCTCTTAGCCATCTTAATGGGTAGTCAAAACGATAGCCTTCATGCTTTACGGTCTCTGTCTCAAACTTTTGACCGACATTAGTAAAAAGTTCATCTAATGGTTTAGTTGTAGCAACTCTTGAATTTTCTTTTTCTATTGGAAGCATATTTTATCTAGAATAAAAATGTCAAATGAAACAGCGTCTATGAGAGAAATACAACACAACCGACAACTCATTTTGCAAGCTCTAAATAAGAACACAACAAACTTTTCAAACTATTCTAAGATATCTGAGTCATTGAAAGAAGGAAACTTAAAACTGACATTAAACCCAATGACAGATGAGTTTCTGTTTCAAGACAACAAGAACCATACTGTTTGTATAAATCCAACAAAAGGAACCTTAAACGAGAAACCTATAGATGAACTTCTTTTGAAAGCAGATGTTGACAACAAAGCTGACAAAGAGTATGTAGACGATGCAATAGCAAAAGAAGAAGAAAGAGCTAACAAAGCTTATGCAACAAAAGAGGATGTTGAAAAGAAAGCAGATAAAACATATGTTGACGATGAGTTAGCATGTGTGACTAGTGCGTTAGTGAAGAAGGCATATAAGGAATATGTGGATGAAAAAGACAATGAAAGTTAGTATACAAGTCTTGGGTACGGCGGCACTGCGTTCCACCTTACCCAATACTTGTGAATTTGACACTTTACAAAACCGTTAACGTATATTTTACAACATGAACGCAAAAACTAATTTAACCTTAAATATTTACAAAGCCGCCAACCACTTCACTAACGAACTCACTAATGTAAAAAATAAACGTTCTCACTATCGTTCTCACTAACGACTTCACTAATGTTCTCATAAATTTTCCTCAATATCTTCATCATCAGTGTTAACCCTATTGTAGTCATACTTGAAGCCATAAACTTTCTCTAACTTCTTAACGTACAATTTACATAACTTACCTTCGTCATCGTATGGTTTAATGATATAACTATTTCTATCTTTATACACAGTCAATGAAAAGTCAACTGGTCTCGGATGTATTTGAAAGAACATGTTATGCTCAGGAAGGAAGAATAAATGTTTAAATGTATGTTTGTTATACTTGGAATTCGAATGAGTTGCTTTTGTTCTGTCATTTACATCCAAATAAAAAATTTCAGTAAACTTAAAAATAAAATAAAAATTAATGATATCACCACCCGCACACGTATGAAAACATAGCACAAAAATAAATTTAGGGTAGAAGGTTAGATCTAACCCGATATCTAACCTCTTTTCTAACCTGTTGAATTCATTGCTTTATAACTCACTGTCGTCTGCTTCTCCAACTCTTCTAACTTCTTCTTAAGTTCAGCAATGTTGTCCTCATGAAGTTTAATCTTTCTCAAAATACCTTCTCTATCTAATGGTTGCTTTATCTTTCTAAACTGAACTCTACCATCCTTCATAGTATGAATGTAAAAACCTTCTGGAATAGTTCCTGATTTAATGTATTCTACCAAAAACTTTTGTTTCATTGCTTCAGTGACTTTAGTCGTCATTTCAATCAAATAAAAATTTTAATATTAAATAAAAATAACGTTATTTTTTCAGTAAGGAAACGCAGGAGTTTTACGATTTATTTGAGGAGTAGGTTCTGGTTTAAATGTTGGAGTCGGTTTAGGAGTTGACTTTTGAACAGGAGTTTGTACTTCCATAGGTTCAGGAGTATTGAAGGTTTTGCTTGTGAAGGCGTTGGTTTTGGCGAAGGTGTTGGAGTTTGTTTAACTTCAGCTACTTCAGTATTATTTATAACATTTGCTTTATTTCTTTTCAACATCATTACTGCTCCTGCTGTAGCTAGCAAACCTAGTGGGAGACCATATTTTATATAAGGACTTGACCAAATGCTATTTTTGACAGGAGCTGGTGGAACACCTAACCTTGGTGAGACTGCTCTTTGCCATTGTGCAGCTCGTAAGAAATATTCAATAGGTGCTCCATAATCGTTTGGTAAAGTTTGTTTCATAGATGGTGAAGGTTCGCACGAGAGCTTGATGAAGAACTCATTTATAAGCTTTAAAAATAAACGTTCATCCTTTATTCCTCACTGTCGTCCGTGCTAAGTTATAGTCATCTAATCTTATTATGGGATGCCATTAGCACGCACCTGAATGGCAAAGCAACAATCCCTCATAAATCCAATAAGTGGCTTTGGTACGTTTTCAGTTGCTAGTTCAATAGGTCCTTTAACAGACAATTTGTATGTTATTGGAGCAGTAGATGTTTGACCTTGTTGGAAGCAAAAGTCCACTTCTGTTGGAAAACCACATAAGAAATGTGTGTTGTCATAGCTATCCCATTTATGTTCCACACTACCATCATCCACCAATGACCTCATAACATCTTCATTAAATCCTATCATATCATTGTTTGTATTGCAGGCGTTCGCAACCATTTCATAAAATACAGGTCCATATGATTTTTCAGGTTCTGCAGGCATATTTCCATAAGCTCCCATGGAAAGCTGAAGATATTTAAACTTAGGGTTCTCAAAATTAACATAATAGTTGTCTTTCTTTCTAAATAGTGCCCAAATACTTTTAACATTAATAGGCGTATAAGCTGCTGTAAATGTTGCACTTGAACTATCTGTATTCTTTGAGAATGAACCGTCCATAGGAATCCAATCCATAACTTTAACAGGAAAACATAAAGCCTCGTTTGTATAATGTTCTACAAGTTCTGTATAAATGTTAGGGTCTAAAGAGAATGACTTTGGATGAATGAAACATTCATTAAAATCCATCTTTGTTCGAAATAGTTGCTGGTTACAGTTGTAATAGTAACTGTTCCACTAGCTTCTACTGCCTTCGTTATCATAGTGAATGGTTCATTCCATGGAACAAATTTATTTGTCGGTGGATTTGAATCTGAAGCAAATGCAACTTTAAGAGTTGGATTGAAAGCAATGATATCATTTACAGATATAGATGTGCATTGTAAGGCGTCGCTACTGAACTTTACTTTAAGCTGAATGTTCCTGCAAAGCAGGAATAAATCTTATAGCTTCTAATGGAAGGAATCTTCTAACAGGAATTCTTAAACGAAGCTTAAAATCAAATGATTTTCCTGCTGTAATTGGACCACTAACAATTTGTCCTGTTCTGCATGTTCCCGAATGACTCCATACATCTTCATGTCGAGTCTTTGAGAAAACATCTACTTTCTTTATTTGTTCGGTAGTTTGTGAGTTTGAAGTTATATATGCTTCTTCTCTTGCGTTGTCTTGAGAATATACGATACGACCATTTGCAAGGATTTGATATCCAGCAACTGCATAGAAAGCGT